GAGACACTGCTGTAGTTTTGAAAATAAAATGTTTTCCCGTTTTTGTTTGATAAAGGATTTCAGCTGCTCAGCAGTTTGGAGTCTCCTTTGTCTTTCTTCATTTTATGATACATCATATGTTTTCAGTGGTGACAGATCTGGACTGCAGGCAGCATTATCGTTCAGCATTAATGGTGCCTTCACAGATATGCAAGTCACCCATGCCATGTGCACTAATGCCCCCCCATACCATCAAGAATACTGGCTTTTGAACTGTGCACTGATAACAAGCTGAGTGGTCTTTAGCCCGGAGGACACAGTGTCCATGATTTCCAAAAAAAAAATTATATGTTAATTCATTGGTCCACAGGACACTTTTCCACTTCCCCTCAGTCCATTTTAAATGAGAGGGTGGCAGTGTTTCTGGATCCTGTTTATATATGATATCTTCTTTGCGTTCTAGAGTTTTAACTTGCATTTGTGGATGCAGTGACGAACTGTCTGTTTTCTCAGACAGTGGTTTTCAGAAGTGTTTCCACTACAAAATTGTGTCTGTTTTTAATGCAGTGCCACCTGAGGGCCCAAAGATCATGGCCAGCAAATACTGGTTTTTGGCCTTGTCCCTTGTGTACAGAGATTTCTCCAGATTGTCTGAATCTTTTAATGGTATTATGTACTGTAGATGATGATTGCCGTCTCAACTTTTTTGGAACACATTGTTGGCATCAAATTCAAAATGGGTATATATTTTTCAAAAAACAATAAAATTTCTCAGTTTTAACATTTGGTATGTTGTCTTTGTACTATTTTCAATAAAATATAGGATTTAAATGATTTACACATCATTGCATTTTGTTTTTATTTACATTTTGCACAGTGTCCTTTTTTGGAAATGGGGTTGTAAATTGGGAGTATAAACATCAATCCAACTAATCAATAACAAGATTCATTGCTATCAATGATGCTGACTAGTTGTTGCAGCCCTAATTCACAATAGTTTATAGCCTAATGTAATATTCTCTGTATAAACATATGGAATTGAAACACTGTGCATACTGTATTTTATTGGTTTGAGCAGATACGGGAGAATTGCCTGATCTGATGCCACATCTTAACTGCAGTGTACCTTAACACAATTTTGCTATGACAGCTCAGTGTTGAATGTGTGCTGTGTGCAACTGTTGCTAAGGAAGGGATCATAGCAGATGTGATAGTCACTGAAAGTGCACTGAAAAATGGGCTTTGTTTGGTTAGTTTTACTTCGACTTGGTGGAATCCCCGTTGCCATCGTTAAAGCTGTGTTCTTAACAAGCTCATAAGCTGCAGTTTGTTAAATGAACGCTCAGGGAGCCGATCGATCGATTCTACAGATTTCCATTTCCTAGCCATGCACAAAATATTTTCACTGAATTCCTGAGCAACAAGAGGAAATGCGTAAGGGAGTATAAGAAACAGCAGTGAAACGGGGCCTTGTTCTCATTTAATATACTGTCTCATATCTTATCATAAAAGTGGTTCTTATACATCAAAATTGCACACAGACAAATCTGATCATAAAAGACGTGCATGCAAATTTCACTGCCAGTTTTGTTGTTCATCAGTTTCATCTTCGGCAGATCTGTACCATCAAACTCACGTCTGGTAGGAGTGCATGTAAATTTAAGCGTAATAGTTTATCAACCTGAAAAAATGCTTGAATTAAAATAGAAAATAACAATAATGCTAATAATTTGTGCACATGGCAATCCAGTACAACTAATCCATGTTCCATTTACAGACATATTACACACTGCTTTCATTTTATACAAATGACACTGGCCAAAAAAATAAAAACACAGCTAGTGCAGAAGCATCTCATACACTGCAATAATACAGCATACAGTATATATTATTTTATACTACACAATCACATCATTGTACTATTGTTTTGTTTATTTCACATTTTATTCTTTCTAGTCATCGTAATTTTATCAGTATAAAGTTCGGTCAGTAGAGAAGGCAGTGCAGTCACTCCACCTACAAGCACAGGCACTGACTCACGAGCCACTGAATGCTGTCTTTTATTGGCTCCGTACCAAAATATCTGCATGAACTAGGGTGTGCTTAATGTAAATGACATGTAAATGAGGAGCTGGTAAGTAATGGAGCTTGATTTGACGCACTGAATCTGATTCATCATTTACCTTCAAATCTCTGCTTGTTCCCACGTTGTACAAAATATTCATGAATCAAATGAAGAGTAGTTTATAGGTCATTAAAGGCAGTCAAATCTGTGCTCTTTTTTATGCAACTTTGATGAATAACCTCAACTCGTCCTTATCTTGCATGCAAAAAAACTTATTTTTCATTAACTGATATTATCTTTAATAGTTTGTAATTTACTGTTTATTAGTTTTTTTACTTTTATCTAGCATTGCATTTTAAATATTTGCTCCAGCCTATAGCAGGCATACGGCAGGAGTTTTTATGAGCCCACATTGCTAATGTTAGAACTTATCATTATCAACTATTGGCTAACCAGAGTTATAAATAAAGAGACCGATCACGGGTTGAGATATAAATAGGAAAGCTCATAATGCTCAACATGGCGTCAGTTTACATAGAAAGTCCCACCCCTCAATCTAAAGAGCCAATCAGCTCGCTGGTTATGCCAGGAGCCGAGAAGCGTCGATGATACTGTGGCGCGAGTGACAAGGAGATCTACGCAAGTGCAGGCATAAAAAGCAATTCCTGTAGGTCCTATCTGTCTTTTGATTTTGAGAAAGCTGCAGTTGCACCGTCTATTTAGCCTCAGCAGGGCCGTGTTTGTGGAAAAGTGTGAATTGTTTCAGCAGCAGGGGGTTCTCATCCCTCCCCTTTCACTCCTCATTGCTCACTAGCAGCTCCAAAAACTTCTTACAGAGACCGAAAATCGTCCTAGTTGATCTAATAACAGGGTTACAGGGAGAAATCATTTATTTGATTTCTAATTAAAAATGGTGGCCCTTAAACACATTGTATGGAGAAGTTACATTGTCATGGCACGTACAATTCTGTTTTGGATTGTTTTGATTTAAAGTATTAGATCAATATCTGTTAATTTTATAAAAAAGAGCATGTTATGGTCACAAGATTCTGTCACTAAAGATACTGAGGGGAAAGAGCTGAAAGACATGCCCTTGGAGCATCTTAGGGTAAGCATTTTGTTCAATTGCACAGCCACAGTGCTAAGAGGACAGCTATCTTAGCATTTGCAGCCATTCAAGGTCCATTTCCTTCAGTACCAATCCAGGAACGAATGGAAATAAAAGTCTATTGGTTAGTCCCTCAAACCTCTGCTAAGCCATTAGGATTTAGCAGATGAAACAGACGAAATCAAAGGATTTTGCTTGAAAGAAAAGAGAGCTAACGAGTCAACAGTGTTACGACCGTCAGCAGAAGTGTTAATGTTGCTGCATGGCTGAAATCAGAAGTCAACCTCTCTTACACGCAGTTTAATTATTATGATTGATAAAGCTGGACTGACCCTTTTTAGCATTTGCCTCAGTGATAAGCTCTTTAATCCCTTTAAACTGGACGGGGTGGGGGCTGGGGGTGATGTATTTATATGTTGTGAATACTCATTAATCTCACTGCCTTCACTATCATCTCACTCTCCGACATCCAACTCTCTTGCTTTGTCATTGTGCAAAGATCAGCCAGTATCCACTCAATTCGACTTCAGAATAATTAACTTAGCTTAGGAAATTGACTTTCTGGAAAGCTATAGAGGGATGCTCTGTGTTGTGTGATGAAGGATTGTCCCTGCTGACTTGAACAGATGGGGCTAGTCCCCAGTCCCCCACGCATACACATGAAGTTGCAACAAATATTTCTTCTTTAAATGTGGAATGATATGGAAGGGGATATTGTTTAAAACCTCCTTCTGTCTAATAACCTCAGCAAGGTCTAGAATCAATTCGGTGTGGTAGATTAGCCCTTATTCCACTGTTAGGGCTGGGGACTGTAACCATTTTTACTATTTGCAGTATATTGACAGCCACTCACGTACATTATGAACAGTTTGAAATTTCCAATTTCCATTTAGTCCCATTTGAATAAGTTGAATAAGTCAAAATATTTCATATTGTAATATAAACATGGGCACACTTCACATAACATGAAATGCAATATCTGCTGCTTACATTTCAATATTTCTGTGTTCAACGCTGCTTGCGCAGTAAAGACTTACTATGCACAATTCCTTTCTTCCAAACCATACATGCCTTATTTAAAAACCCATTTAAACAAAAGGAAAAACTGAAATGAGTTTGGATATCAATACAAATTACAACACTACCCCTCCACATAATCTCCCCCAGGTTTGTTTCAGACCTGTGGGAAACACTGACTTGAATACATACTCGCTTTTCCATTCAACAGAGTTTTTGTGCAAGAATGCTGTAGATGGTTCTCTATAGCAGCTTTTTGAAAAGGATCCTATATAGCACCAAAAGAGGTTCTTCTATTGTTACGATGTCAAGCTTGTGACAACATAAGAACACTTTTTGGTGCTATACAGGTCTTAGTCGACCTTAGTTTAAATACAATGTGGTCCAGGCCAAGATTGGTTGGTTCATTTCAAACATATTTTAACATGTAAACACCTAACAACAAGTCCACTTTCTTAGAATAACTAAGAACTCCAGGCATGTATACAAGTTAATGTAGACCAGGGGTGCTTAATCCTGATCATGGACATCTAACACCCTGCAGAGTTCAGCTCTAAATATTAGAACCAGGTGTGCAGGATGTGGACTCTCTAGGGTGGGAGATCTCCAGGACCAGGACCGGGCACCCCTGAAGTAGACTGATGGTAGCTTCTTGTTAACTGATCACCTAACAGTACTTCATTTGTTCCTCAATAGTCACTGGATAGCAGGTTTGGTTCCAGGTGTTCTTGCTAATAATAATAGAATGTATGGCAAGATATATATGAGTTTGGATATGTGTATATTTGAATAACCATGCCCATCCCTAATGACTGCATGTTCTTTGCTCACCTACGTCAGCCATCTCTTGCACAGAGGCTATGTAGGGGTCTTTGGTGAATTTTGGTTCGTTGTCATTGATGTCATGGATTTTGATGGTAAACTGCGATGGCCCCTCCAGATCTCGGCCCGTTAGCTTGTCCACAGCTTTGGCGCTGAGTGTGTAGGAGGCTTTCTCTTCGCGGTCCAGCCTCCGGGTGGCGTGGAGGTCACCTGAGTTTTCGTCGATTACGAAAACGGTGCCCGCCCCCTCTCCGCTGAGAACGTATCTTACAGTGCCGTCTTCTCTGTCCTTATCGGAGTGCAGCTGTAGGAGGCAGAAATATCATGCTGTTAAAAAGACTCACTGCTGCAATCACTGTGCTCCTGCAGTTTAGGGTTTTTTTTTACTTTAGAAAGAGTTTTTTTTATTTGTCAGACCACCAAGCAGTGCATCCAAGTATAGTTAATGTCCCTAACAGACAGACTTCCCACTGTGATAACACACGGGGGTGAAAAGTATTAAAGGATGTCACACGCTGTGGGTGTTACCATTTTGGGGGACGTCAATAATCCCAGTACAATCACAACTAATATTTCTAGACTTCATACAAGATTAAATTACTTGCTGCCACAAAGAAACACCACTGTTTTCTTACTAATCACTTAATCATTCACAGTTATATGGATGGATCAAATTCAAGAATTGAATTACTCTACCATTACTTTGCCTACAGCCGGCTGGCTACAGACATTGCAAAAAGGCACTTGAAACTTAAATAATGTTTTCTAAGTGACTTCAAGTAAAACTGCCATGATCTACTTGCAAATTAATCATTGGGGTAGTATAAATAAATTCCAAGGTCTGAAACACTCCTGAGCTAAGGCACAAGAAAAAGAAAGAATTTTTTAATCTGGTCTTTGTTAATGACAAAATGAATTCAATGAGTTGAAATTTGGAAACTCATGAAATGAATGGTCTGATTGCAGAAGTTACTGTCATGAGTTATACAAAACCAGGCTGTTGTTCAATGAAACAAGACAATCTTCCCTGCATTCACAGCATGCCTAGTATTCTTTTGAATAAAGAGGAAGCAGGTGAATAAAAAAAAGCACAAACCCATACGATAGAATTTATCGCAGCTGAATGAAAGCAGAAGAAAAAGTCAGTAAAAAAATCAATTCCTCAGCCACCAACCACTGCACATTGAAAATGTACTCTTGATCAATTCTCATTGAAAATACAATTATACCATCTCTAAGAAAAGTGGAAAAATCTTGCCCCCACCACCTCTTTCTTTGTTTTCTGATTCAGACAGACCAGAAGGAAACCTCGGTTCGGTTTACTGCCTCTTGTCTTTAGCTCAAAGCAGATTTCGTTATTGCCTGTTTCTGACCTTGAAAACGTAACAGGGTGAACAGTGTGTTCACAGATATATAGTAAGTAGCAGAAGCAAACTTTCAGGGCCTTCTGGGCCTAATCATTTCTGGGAACTAAAATGCATGTCTCTAATGTTTAGTTCATTTTTATTCAGTAGAATTATTGTAAAGATCTGGATGGAAACAAAAGGGATAAATTCTTTAAACCCAGCAGAAAAATAGGCCAATCAAGTCACTAGGTAAATATAGTTAAGCAGGTTCTTCAGGTCACGACTGCAAGAGCTGAGGACAGGGCCTAACATGTTAGATTAACCACCAGCATAATTACGAAGTGACAAATGAATCAACCAATCACCTTTTGGTTTCCAATGGGTGGGACTAATAATGAGAAAAACATCACTCTAGGTATTCTGGAAGTTCTAGATACCAGATCTCACCACTGAAAGAAGAACTGTGAAACTGCTACAAGGTAAAAATTCTGACTGTTTCAAATAAAGAAAATAGTTCTAGTATACAACTTATGTCAATGTGAAAATCTCAATGCTAGATGTTATACAAAATCAGCCCAATAGTGAGACTAGGTATCAGATCACTCTGATGGTATGTCCAAAGTACCTCTATGGGACTCTAGTGGTACATTTTTGGCCATTTTAATTTAATTGCACACATATAAGGTAAGTAAAAACATTAACGTGTACACTTCCTTGTAGCAGTTTCAGTTCTATTGTTTTAGTTTTAGTTTGTAGCAGTGACCCCCTCAGTAAAGAGTCCTGGCACAGAGCTTCCACCGATGTTTCACATTTCTAAGAACTGACTCAAATGCACTGTGCAGGCCACGGCTCGTATTCATAGTCAGTGATGTAACTAGAACTTACAAAAGTCTCTTTTTTTCTAGCAAACTCCCATACATTCTAAGTCTAAATAGGATTGGTTGATTGCACTGTCAGTTCCTATTTATGTTGGTGGTTGAGCTGGCATGTTCAGCTCCTGAAGTCCTAACTAGTGGGTGAGCTCACTTGGCTCTATCTACTTAGGCACCTAGGTTTTTTATTTTACAGAAATCATTATGTCTTCTCTGAAAGCCCTAGAAGGCCCTGAGGGTCCCCCTCTGCTGCAAAGAGACAAGCTGAACCTTTACCTGAACATGTAAACAGAACTGTAACATATTGGTGAGGTTTCAGCAAAGGATTTTAGCAGGCTGGGTGAAACACAAAGCATTCCGTAGGCAAAACAAGGCTGTACACAAAGAAATAACTTTACATGAAATTCAAATCATGATAAAATATCTCTTCTTCAACATTCAAGTCAAGAATCTGCACTTTTCATACAATGTCTCAGCTTGTTAATAAGAAATCATTTCTACAAAATTACTGCATGCTTTTGTTATCGACAACGATTAACTGTGACTTCTAAAGTTAAATCCTCTGTTTCATGGCAAATGCTGCTATGATTATGGCCCATATCCTACATTTGTCTTAATTTTAGTGTTTTCTCCTTGTGGTCCACTTTTGACATTTGTGTGGTTTTAGTACCAAAATCAGCCATTATTCCAAACTCATTGTCCCTTAAAATTAAATAGGCTGTATTTTATGCTGTGCCTTTAAGACTGATATATGTAAATGAGCTCCATTTTGACTGGATGTCCTGTATTGCGCTTCTTGCAATAAGCAGTCTGGGCTAAAACACATCTTACAACATCAGTGTGAATGGGTGGAGCTATACTGCTGTAGGTGGAAATATGTAAATGTGTTGGTGTTGTTGTAAAATATGTAAATGTTTTGAAACTGTGACAGTGTTTAAATATACATCAAACTTGTTTTATTATTATTATTTTTTTATTTTTATTGTAAATGTGGTTGCCCTGCTTCACTCATTAGCATCTGACATCTCACTCCGATTTCTCAACCAGAATTAACAGATTTGTTTAAAAAGATGGAATGAGTGATTAATGGTGTTGCTATAGTTAGAACTGAAGAGAAGAAAGTCAGAATTAGGACAAGGCATGCTTTTATGTTCCTGTCTGGTCACAGTCTATTCACTCCCTTCTGAATACTGTCCACTAAACCCATACAGCCACGGTGGCTGGGCTGCAGTATGTCTATATGAAAACAGGGCCTTTCGAGACATACATTCAGCCACTGAGATATTTAGGGCAAAAAGTCTGCTGAAAGTTTCACACTGTCCTAAAAGACTCTTATGACTGCAGCTCTTTTCTTAAGAGCATCCATCAGTGCTGAAAAGGAGAGAAGAAATGGGAAAGTTTCGTGTTCACAATGGTCGGGGTAATAAAGGACATGAGTGACTGCACTTCTGAGGGGCAAAATCACAGTCCTTTTGCTGGAAGCTCAGTATGACTGGCTGAGAGCCATTATAGTACATGTCCACTTGCAAGTTCGCCATGCCCTATTCATTTCAATGGGTATGTGGATGGAAGCGGAGGCTTTTAATTAGCTTCTAAACGTCATCTTTACAAAAGGAGCTCACAGTGTACTCGCTGGTGAGACTGATAACTTACAAGCTTGTGTGGAAGACTGATGCGTTATCACTTTATAAAGTTAGAAAAGGATACATTACAAAATGTACAACCTCATTGTTTATTCTCACTGTAAACTTTGATATAACATTAAATAAAAATTTTAAAAAGTGGCTCCCGAGTGGAGCAACCGTCTAAGCGTTGGCCCTATCATCAGGAGATCGCGAGTTCGATCCCTGGTGATGCTACAGCCATCCGTAGCCGGGAGTCCAAGAGAGCACAATTGGCCTCGCTCTCTCTGGGTGGGTAGGATGGCCCCCCCTTCTCCCCCATCACTCAGCGCGATGCTAGTCAGCGCAGGCGTCTGTTAGCTGACGTAGCAGATCTGGCGGTTGGCACTTTCCTCCGAGCGCGTTCAGCTGTCCAATGATGTCGCGTGAGCGGCAGTTCGAAAAGATGCGGTGGCGCTTCACAGGTCTCGGAGGAAGCCTGTGCTAGCCTTCACCCTCCTAGTGTTGACAGCATCGTGTGATTGGGGGAGTCTTAACCAGCAGGTGGAATTGGAAACGACTAAATTGGGTAAAAATTAAAGAAAATAATTTTTAAAAAGCAATTCGGATTATTTACTTGGCCCAAAATGTTCCTTTCCTTCATATAAGAAAAGTGAACATTAAGAGTAGAAACAAAGAATGCCCTTTTTGTGCTCTTAGTCAATAAAGAGTTTCTCCAATAGTAATCATGAACATGTATTTATAAAAAATGTATCCCCAAAAAAATAACTTTCTAATATAAGGAAAAACACATTCCTAACATCTGTTATTGTAACTTTGAAAACACTTGAAAGGTTTTCCATGGGCCCATTCATAATGAAATGATCACACAATGTACAGAGCAGCTGGCATTTTTAAACTGCGTAAAAAAATTAAAAACTGAAAACTAAACAAGAACACATAGTATCACTGATTTAAAGTAGTGCTCTTATAAAGTATCAAAAGCTATCTGACTGCTATTGGCACCCCCTTGTGGAAAAGCTAAATCTGAGTGAGTGAGTTACAAGCCAGTTCCATGTGTTTTTTTACACCTAAAATTACTAAGAACAGCAACAAGTCATCCTTATGATGTATGATATTAATGCAACTAATTGCATGTTGTGAGTTGCCTGCAACAACAAGAACACAACACATCTGATTACTCCAGAAGATGTTACGACACACCAAATCATTCTGTCTATAAGTAAATCTATGTTTATATAGCTGTCATTTATCCAGGTACCTAGGGCTTTAAATGTATATTTAAGTTTTAATCTGCTGTTTGTATGCTAAGCCTCCGAAAATGAATGTTTAAGTAGCTGTTATGGTTATAGCTGACTTGATGTCTCTTTCATCCTGTCCTAGCAGCACAAGTTCATCACAGAGCTCATCTCGGTCTCCTCTTATGTAATAATTTTCATCCTTTGCATCCCAAATGTATCTGAG